ATATTTTTCTATTTCTATCTTTCATTGTCACTCTCTTTCTCTCTCTCTCCCTTTTTCTTTCTCTCTCTCTCTCTCTCTCATTCTTTTTTCAGTTTTTTCATTCTTTTTTTCATTCTTCTCTCAGTTTTTGCCTTTAATGTTAATAATTATTTTCCTAATTACTAATTCACTTTTTCTGTGTCTGTTTGTCTTTTTCTTTCTCTTCCTTTCTCTCTCTCTCTCTTTCTCTCTCTCTTTCTCTCTCTCTTTCTCTTTCTCATTCTCTCTCTCTCTCTCTCTCTCTCTCTCTCTCTTTCTCTCTCTACTTTTAACATCCATCGATCATGTTTTTCGTTTATATTTTACTTGACATTTTCTAATATTTCTTAAATTTTGTTGAAAAATTAATCTAAGGTAACAATTTCTGGATCATGAAATGACCTCATTTATTTATTATCTTTATTAATTAATTTAATTATTCAATTACGAACAAAAATTGAATAAAATAATATTATTCTAAATAAAATATTAAATGGATTAATTTACCTTAAATAAAATTTTAACGAAAAAATATTTTTTTTTAAATTCTTCCTCTTCCGCTTCAATATCTCCACGTTGGGCACGCTACGATGACAATCATCTTCCTCATCATCCTCCTCATCATCATCTTCCTCCTCATCATCTTCCTCCTCATCATCATCCTCCTCATCATCATCCTCCTCATCATCATCTTCCTCCTCATCCTTCTCCTTATCATCATCATCTTCCTCATCATCCTCATCATCTTCCTCATCATTATCCTCATCATCATCTTCCTCCTCATCCTCCTCCTTATCATCCTCATCATCATCATCTTCCTCATCATTATCCTCATCATCATCATCTTCCTCATCCTCCTCATCATCTTCCTCATCATCTTCCTCATCATCTTCCTCATCTTCCTCATCATCTTCCTCCTCATCATCTTCCTCCTCATCATCTTCCTCATCATCTTTCTCATCATCATCGTATCATTATTATTATTATTATTCATTATTATTATTCATTATTATTCAAAATCAACATTGTGCATGTGTTTGGATGTTTGTAGCTGTAGTAGGAGTAGTAGTAGGACTACTACTAGTAGTCGTAATAGTAGTAGTAGTAGTAGTAGTAGTAGTAGTAGTAGTAGTAGTAACAGCAGTAGTAGTAGTAGTAGTAACAGCAGTAGTAGTAGTAGTAGTAGCAGTAGTAGTAGTAGTAACAGCAGTAGTAGTAGTAGTAGTAACAGCAGTAGTAGTAGTAGTAGTAGCAGTAGTAGTAGTAGAAGTTATAAAAATCCATATACACATTTTTGTATAATATCGTTCATTAACCGAAGGACAATGTCGTTGGCGTTCAGAGATGTTATTTATCTTTGCTATTGTTTGTCTTCGTTGTAATTGTTTATCTTTGTTATTTGTTATCTTTGTTATTTGTTATCTTTGTTATTTGTTATCTTTGTTATTTGTTATCTTTGTTATTTGTTATCTTTGTTATTGTTTATTTTTGTTGATAACGCTAGTGGTGATGATGGTGATGTGGATGATGCTGATGCTGATGCGACCATCAATGCTACGGTTTTTGATGTTGTTGTTGTTGTTGATGTTGTTGTTGTTGAGGTTGATGTTGTTGTTGATGTTGTTAATGTAGGTGACGTCGCTAGCAGAACCACCAAAGAACAAATAATTACATTCACACCCAAGAACCGATCTTTAAAATTTTTACGAGTTTAATGATACGCGCACACACACACACCCACACACACACATTCACACACACACTCATACGCACTTACACGAACACACACACGCACATACACAAACATTCTCTTTTCATTTCAGTTGCCAAGAGCAATTCTCCGAAACAATTAAATGTATCTACATCAAAAAAACATACTAAAATTGAAAGCAAGCGGTTACACATACGTACACACGCACACACATACACACACACATACACACGCACGCACGCATAAACAACACATACAAACAGACAAACAAACAGAGTTCGCCGATTTGTGTAGGCTCTACAAACAGTTATTCAACCATCTCGTCAGAATCTTTTTTGTGTTACGACGGACTTGCATGCATTCATTTTTAATTTTATAAACTGTCTTTTACTCTTTCTTCTTTCTCTCTCTTTCTATTTCTTTCTCTTTCTTCTCTCTCTCTCTTTCTCTCTTCCTCTTTTTCATTCATTCTTTCATTCTTGCGTCGATAGTCCAACTTTCTTTGTTTTTTAAACTATTTCATTTTTCTTTCACTTCCTCTCTCTTTGTTTCTCTTTCTTCTTCTGTTTCTCCTTCTGTCTCTCTTTCCATCTCTTTGTCTCTATCCATTTCTTTATCTCTCTCTCCATTTTTCACTTTCTTTCTTTATCCATTTTTTTTTCTCTCTCTCTCTCTCTCCAAGCCTAAAGCCACGCCACTGGCATTATATCGATGATTAGCTTTTTGAATGATAATGAGAATCATAAAAATAAAAATTTAAAAAAAGTCTTCGTCTTATTCATTTTTTTTATTCTATGCAAACGTTGTCTATTGCCGTTGGAGGATATTTTTTTCAAGAAAAAATTTTCATTTTGGCACTAGTTTTAGTCGGTCTGGTTCGATAGATTGTTTCGTCATTAATTAATTAATTAATTAATTGATCAATTAATTAATTCATTCATTCATTTAATCATTCATTCAATTATTCATTCATTCATTCAACCATTCATTCATTCAATCATTCATTCATTCATTCATTATATATCCATCTATTGATTCATTCATTCATTCACTCATTCATTCGTTCGTTCGATCGTTCGTTCATTCGTTTATTAATTTTCTCGTTAAAATTAAAGAAAGAAACAAAATACATCAATAGCAATTTTACTCAGTAAAAACTAAATAGCCCAAGAACTAAAATAACCAAAAAAATATCATCATCATCATCATTTTCTTCACCATCACCATCATCTTCTTCATCATCATCACCACCACCATCATCGTCATCATCATCTTCTTCCTCCTCTTCATCATAATTATCATAGCATCATAGCGCATAGTTAAAAATTGAACTAAAGCAATATAATATATGTCCTTAATAAACTACAATATATATATATATATATATATATATATATATATATATACATATATATAACATCTAAAGCAATATATATATATATATATATATATATATATATAATGAATATAAGTTAATAATATAAATATTTTTATAAATATTTAAATGAATGACATTTTTCATTTATGCTTGTTATTATTAATATTGTTGTTAATGTTATTATTATTGTTATTATTAAACAAAAAAAAATTAATGAGAAGAACAGATTGGCAGAATATGTACGAATATTATTACCAGATATAAAAGAATAATTATTCTCGCTCCTTTCTTCCTCCTTCATTCATTCTATCTTTCATTCGTTCGTTCGTTCGTTCGCTCGCTCGTTCATTTGTCTGTTCATTCGTTCATTTGTTTATCAATTCATCTATTCATTCATTCCTACATTTAATTATTTTTCTAATTATAATACATTCATTCGTTCGTTCGTTCGTTCGTTCGTTCGTTCGTTCATTCATTCATTCATTCATTCACTTCGTTCTTCTTTTTATTCATGTAGCTCAACTTTTTCCGAACCCGGCTCTGGCGAAATTTTTTCTTCGTCGCCACCATCACCATCATCATCATCATCATCGCCGGTAATTAACAATCTAAATTCCTTTCTCGCTCTGATCTCATCATCATCATCACCACCACCGTCATCATTATCAGTACTTTTCCCGCCAATTTTAGCGGCGCCAAAATCTAAATCGCCAGAGATCTGCATCAAGTTATGCTCGAATTCTAAATCTATGGTTTCAGCAGTTTAGGGTCGACGATTTTATGTTCTTTGGTATCGATTTTTTTACCATTATCGCCCACTGGCGCATCCTTACTTTTAGTTTTCATTGCGCCATCTTTGTTCTTCCTCTCCTCGCGATCTTTTTCCTGTTCCTCTAGGGCCACTTTCCTCAGATCCATGTATGCACTTTCGAATGGACAGCTGCCATCATCGTCATCATTATCAGGATGTTGTTGCTGTTGTTGATGTTGTTGTTGCTGTTGTTGTTGCTGCTGTTGTTGTTGTTGTTGTTGCTGTTGTTGCTGCTGTTGTTGTTGGATGATGACAAAATCGTTATCATCAGCATTATTGTTATTATTATTGTTATTATGATTATTGTTGTTGTGGTTAGTGTTGTTGTTGTTGTTAGTGTTGTTGTTGTTAACTTCTTTGAAGGCTTCGCTAACAACACACTCGACAAAATTATCAACAACTCTCGGTTCACTTTTAGCTGCGGAAACAACTTTATGCTCTTTGGCTACGACTACGTCATCGTCGTCGTCATAAACAACTTTCTCCCTCACTGCAACGCATACATCATCATCATCAGCACCCCCATCACCACATTTGAGATCATCATCACCACCACCACCAGAGTCTCCACAGCCCCCAGGATCGTCATCATCACCGACACATCTGATTTTTCCAGCTCTAGTTTCTAACTTGGTCTCAATTGAATCCGTGATGTGGCATAAATTCTGGTCAAATAAGAACTCGTCCATATCTCTTTCTAGTTTCTGCAGTTGTTGTTGTTGTTGTTTTATTGTTGTTGTTGTTGTTGTGTCAGTGACGTCATTTTGTTGCTGCTGTTGTTGTTGTTTATCGCTTAATGCTTTTCCTCTTAATGATAAATAGGCGTCTTCGAAATCGTTCTGTTGATGTTGTTGATGATGTTGTTGATGTTGTTGTTGTTGTTTATGTTGATGTTCGTCATATCTTTCAATGATCTCAAACTCATCTGAATCAATAGATTTCTTAATGCTAGAAGTTGAATCGTTTTTGTTGTTGTTGTTGCTGTTGTTGTTGTCATCTTTGAAAGCAGATGATTCAATAGTTTTAACGACACCAATTTCATCAACGTTTTGTTGTTGTTGCTGCTGTTGTTGTTGTTGTTGCTGTTGTTGTTGCTGCTGAAGTTGCTGCTGCTGCTGTTGTTGTTGTTGTTGCTGCAGCTGTTGTTGATGTTGTTGTTGATGACGTTTTGGTTTCATTTTATAGCGCTTAACGTTTGCGACATTAACATTTTCATCATCATCATCGTCCTCCTCATCTGAAGACTCGTCATGATCAACTAACTGAATAAAAAAAAAAACTTTCGTCATCATCATCACCACCACCATCATCATCATCACCACCATCATCATCGTCGCCATCATCATTATCATGGTCACCTTTAAAATGTCCGAATACCCAACAGGACAGTTCTTGGATGCGCTAAAATAAATCAGCTGATAACTGCCATAGTATTTTTTCCCGCCAAAATTTTTTTTCCCGCCAACACTTTCTTTCCCGCTAAAACCTCCTTTCCCGCCATCAACGTCATCGCCAACGTCATCACTGACACACTTCAAATCTTTGAAACAATCAACATCAAAAGTAACATTACCGATGACGTCATCATCATTATTATCATTATTGTTGTTATTATTATTGTTGTTGTTGTCGTCATCATTACCAGGACGACTTCTACTACTACCAATACTACTATCGACATCGTCATAACCATGTTTATCATAACGAGACGGGTGAAAGTGGGAGGGGTTTAATTTTCCCGGCTTCCGATTGGCCGAGCTCAAATTTTCTGCATCCTCATTGGCTGTCCTCGGTGTGCCGTGGGAGGAGCTATAGACGGAAGGCTCTACCCATACGTAGGTAGAATACTCTTCGAAATGTTTGAAGTTAGCCTACGTGATGATGATGATGACGATGATGATGATAGTGATGAAAGAGAAGAAGATAATGATGACGATCATGATGAAGATAGTGATGATTATGATAGTGGTGATGATGATGATGAAGGCGATAGTTATAACAACGACAATCAACGACATCATCATCGTCATTACAATCATCATCATCCCAATCATCATCATCGTAACCGACCGGAAATAGCCCCACCCAATCCTTCGACGTCACGGGAAAACCCGGATTAACGGCGTACGTGACATTCTGGGGCTTTCCAATGTTCCAGGAGCTAAGGGGCTCGAACATGATTGGCTGGATGACAGGCTTCTTGAGGACCTACGCCGATCATGATAATGATGATGAAGATGCTTGTGATGATGATGATAACTAATAATAATAATAATAATAATAATAATAATAATAATAATAATAATAATAATAATAATAATAAAGACCTTAACTATGAAATCAGCGACAACAGGTTTATGATCGCTGTTGCAGTATTGGGGTATAGAGAGGTAGCTAAGCTGCTTACAGGCCAGTGAGACACCATGGTAGGAGTTCTCATTGGCTTTCCACAGCACTCGATCGCACCACGAAGGTACCCTGTTTTTGGGACTGGGGTTTTTCAGGGAATGTCTTTTGGTGTTTTTTGAAAATTTTTTGTTTTTTTGGGGGGAGGTTTATTATAAATTTTATGAGAGATGGGTGGCGTTGAGGTTTTTCCTTTGTTGTGTTTTTGGAGTTTTTAGTTTTGGAGTTTCATCAGCATCATCATCACCATCATCATAATCATCATCGTCGTCGTCATTATCGTCATCATCACCACCGTCTAGACCTGGTATCATAATCAGAACTGTTGTAGTTGAATTTGTAGGTCGGTTGAAAATCAATCGGACCCTCGTCAAAGTCAATCAACAGCAACTCTCTCAATCTCGCGTTGTTCAACTGGATGGATGAATGAATGAATGAATGAATGAATGAATGAATGGATGAATGAATAAATGAATGAATGAATGGATGAATGAATGAATGAATGAATGAACAAACGAACGAACGAACGAAGAACGAACGAACGAATCAATGAATGAACGAATCAATCAATCAATCAATCAATCAATCAATCAACAAACAAACGAACAAATTAAAGAAAAATACGAATGAAGAATAAATCACTAAACCAACCAACCAATCAACCAACAGTTCAATCGATCAACCAACCAATCAATCGATAAAAAAAACCAGCCTGATCTTTACTCAAAAGATATTTATAATCTTTGGCGGCAATCCTTTTCCGGCATTCTTCATTCGTGACGTCATCCAGGCGGAAGTTGAGGTCGCCGAACCAGAAGATGTAACTAGTATAGACATTATCATCATCGTCGTCATCATCATCATCATCGTCGTCGTCATCATCATCATCATCATCGTCGTCATCATCATCATCATCGTCGTCTCACTCATGATCCAATATGCTAGGAGAGTCTTTGTCTCGAAACTTCTGAGTAAACAAAACCTGGTTGTAATCCTGATGACGATGATGACCATGATGATGATGATGATGACCAAATAAACCAACCATGCAATCAACCAACCAGCCAACCAACCAAACAATCAACCAACCAACCAACCAACCATTCAACCAACCAATCAACCAAACAACCAACCAACCAACCAACCAGCCAACCATTCAACCAACCAATCAACCAAACAACCAACCAACCAACCAGCCAACCATTCAACCAACCAACCAACCAACCTCGATTCTCTGAACGAAATTCTCCGGATGGGCTGTGAAATGGCAGTTCACGAAACAAATATTGACGTGGTCGATCTCCAACCTTATTGTTACTGCTCCCTTGCTACCCTGCATTTCATTGGTTGGTCGGTTGGTTGGTTGGTCGGTTGGTGGGTTGGTTGGTTGATTGATGGGTTTGTTGGTTGGTTGGTAGGTGGGTTGGTTGGTTGGTTTGTTGGTTGGTCGGTTGGTTGGTTGGTTCATTAATTAATAAGTAAAGTATTTGATTATGAAATGAAATAATATACGAATAAATGAACGAACGAATGAACGAATGAACGAATGAACGAACGAACGAACGAACGAACGAACGAATGACTGCTTAATTTAACAAATTAATTTAAGATTGATGGAATAATTGAATGAACAAACTATGAAAAAACGAACGAACGAGTGATGCAATCAATAAACGAATTCATCAAAAAACATTCAACCAACCTACCAATCAACTAATCAACTAATCAACCATTCAATCAATCAATCAATCAATCAATCAATCAATCAATCAATCAATCAATCAATCAATCAATCAATCAATCAATCAATCAATCAATCAACCAATCAATCAATCAATCAGCCAATCAATCAACTAACCCACAACCCGCCAAATCCAGTCCTAGTATATTCACTTTCAACATTTAAAATTCTAACAAGATTCTTTCTCTTAGTGTACAAGGATATATGTATGCCGACCAAACGTAACGATTTTACCTGGTTGGTTGGTTGATTGATTGATTAGTTGGTTGATTGATTGATTGATTGATTGATTGATTGATTGATTGATTGATTGATTGATTGATTGATTGATTGATTGATTGATTGATTGATTGATTGATTGATTGATTGATTGATTGATTGATTGATTGATTGATTGATTGAACATTTAACATAACATCTTCGCTAGGAGTTTCAACATGACTACACGAAATGTTTTAACTTCTGAGATTTTGTGGTTTTTATTTAACAAACGTGAACCATTGAGCGACGCAAAAGTTTTAAAAGCGAAGTGGCTGAATTTTATACTGCAGAGGAAATCTCCTGTGGTAAGAAAATTTTGCATACTGAACTAGAAGATTTGAACTAAGAAAAGCCGAAATTCCAAGTTTGATAAACTTTTGTTTTAATCAATGTGGTCAAATTTTCAGTTGAAAATAAATTTACTAACCTGTTGCCAATTTTTACAGTTTTTAATATATTTCCAGTACCAAATGGAATCATTAACGAAAGCGTGGCATTTGTAAATAAAATGTATAAATTAACCGAAAAACTAGAACACACCATACAACTGACTGCACAACGGCATGCACGATCCTCAGAAGGTGTGCGCAATTCCTACAGTACACGCGAATTTTCCAAATTTTATGAAAGAGAAACCTTAGCACGTAACCTCAGATGCTATTTCTACCGTTCAACCTAGCTTTTCCAACATTGTTAAGTCTAATTCAATTCTTAGAGCTTACTCTACTAAATTTCTCGGTCTTGTGATTAAGGATGATTTGTGTTCGGATTCATTCGCATATCAAAGCAATTTCTCTAAAAATTAACAAATTTTAGGTATAATGTATAAAGTTAAATCACAAATTTCGGACGATATATTAATTGATCTGTATTATAGTTCAATATTTCCTCATTTAGGTAATTCACTGCAATCACTCTGGGGCGACAGTTCATCTGAAGCTGCTTGCCAGCTGTCAAAACCATTTTATATGATTACTATTTGGTTTGCATACTCATTGTCATGTTAGCGACTATTACTCGACTTTGAATCGTTTGAATGTGCAAAAAAATTCACATTTATTTAATCGCGATTTTTTTATTTAAATTTCTAAATAACTTATTGCTTAATTATTATAAAGATTTTTTCAAATTGAGCAGTTCATTTCAGCAGAAAACATTGGGACACGCAACAATTTTTTACAGTCCTCAGACAACGAGATCAACTTTGATTCAGTCTAGTTTCAAATATACTGGACCAGAAGTGTGGGACGAAATAACTCCACCAGAAATTAAATCCCTCAATTTACTACATTTATTTAAGAATTAACTTAAAAAATTTTTAATAATGGAAAATTCTATCTTTCTGTAGTCTGTCATAGTGATGACCCAATGAACACCACCTGCACGAATTATGCATATTGATAAGATAATATTTTTGTTTTGGGATGTTACAACATTAATAAATATGTTCCTTGCATTTTCTTTGTTTTAATAATTTTTGTTTTAAACGATGAACTAGAACTATGGAAAGCTATAAGTTTATGAACTTTTTAAAAAATATATCAATTGTTATCATGGTGGCCTGTAACAAGTGGTTGGTTCCATGTCATTTCATTTCATGCAATAATTTCTTTTAAAATATGATTTGGCAAAATAAAATATGAAATTGATTGATTGATTAATTGTTTGGTTGATTGATTGGACCAACCCTAACATAGCCAGCCCTACTCCAGAGGGTTTCTGTAATCTGATTGGTCCACGCGTCGTCGAATAGGGAATCAGAGATTAAGGAGGCAGTGTCAGACTTTAATTCCTGTAGTCTATTATTGTGATGACGATGATGATGATAACGATGATAAGAACTATCATTATCCTCACCATCTTCACCAACATCATTACCATCATCGTCGTCGTCATCATCATCATAATAACCCTATAACGTAGATATCAGGTAGTTGTAATTTTTTGTCCCTATCAGAATCATTATCAGCACCGGGGGGGTCCAGTGCCAGGAGATTAGTTAGATCTTTAGGCGGGAAAGATTCACCAACATTCCAAGTGATAATTTTTATACTGTTTATAATGGGAAAATTAATTTTTAAAAATAATTTTTCTCAAATTTGGTTCATTTTTAAAATTCTTATACAAATCAATCAATCAATTAATGATTATGTTAGTGAAGTGGGAGGAGTTTAATGAAATGAGCAAGTTGGTTAAGTTAAAATAAAAAACACTACAATCAATTTTTGAATAGGTGAAGAGTCTAATAATAAAACTCTTAGAACTTAGATCAGAAGTTTAATAATAATTTTAATTTTATTATAATATTAATAATAAAATAGTCTTAATAATTAATAATAAATCACTAAATAATCAAAACCACAAACAAACCCAACCTTAAATTGCTGGTAGTCATTTTTTTTTCTTGAATTTTTCGGGAAAGAATTTTCGGCAGTTAAATTTTAAAATGATTTTTAATTAAACATTGAACTGAAAAACTTATCATATTGGGAATTTATTTTTTAAAATTAATTTTTATTTTTTTATTAGCACCCTCAATCTGTTTTGTGTACCATCCTAATTATTATTGTGTAAAATAGTAACGGTAAAATCGAAGCGCTTATATATAACATATATATTATATATATATATATATATATATATTTCTAATATTAGTGAATTAATGTATGAAAATTTTACATTTTCTATAGTAAGTAAAGGTAGCAATGTTAAATATTAGGACATTTAAATTAGGTTAAAAGTGAATTCGGTTTAGAAGAGGATTATCGATCGGGTGAAAATTTAATTTTTGCTTCATAAGCATGGTAATATAATAATATTAATATTATTAAGTTAGGAATAAGTCAATAAATTCAATTAAAACCTCATTCATTCGTTCATCCATTCATTCATTCATTCTTCCATTCTTTTATTCATTCAAATCTTCTTTCATTTATTTAACTTTGAACAGTTCAACGTGAGAGAAGCAATGATAAGATATAATGTAAAAACAACATCAAACAGTTCTAAAAAAGATCACTTTCATTCATGCACCTCGTGTATTCGTTCAATCTCTCAATCAATAATTCATTCACTCCTCGCTAATTCATTCAATCATTCATTTGTTCATTCATTCATTCATTGAATTCCAAACAATTTAACATCAGACAAACTGGGATTTGATAACTTTATAACACCGAACCCTCGTCACAGACACCACCAGTTAGCTTACTCTTGCTCTGGCTAAACTTATATTTCCATTCATCCACTCATTCGTTCGTTCATTCATTTATTCATTAACTCACTCACTCACTCACTCATTCACTCACTCAATCACTCACGCACTCATTCAATCCTGAACAGTTTGACATCTGAAATACTGGGGCTCGATAGGGTGACGACCATCAGACCCCCATCCTCATTAACATCAACTGCACACGGGCTCTCGCACGCTGAACCAGCAGTTGCGTAACTGATGAACTGACCATCCTTATCGTAAACGAATATCTGGATGAATGAATGGATGAATGAATGAATGAATGGATGAATGGATGAATGAATGGATGAATGAATGGATGGATGAATGGATAAATGAATGAATGGATGAATTAACGAACGAACGAACGAATGAACGAATGAATGAATGAATGAACGAACGAATGAATGAATGAATGAATGAATGAATGAGACCATTGTTAAAAGAAAGACCTTATTGCTATCATGGTCAGCAACGTAGATATCATTGTTACCCTCACCGACGGACAGGCCGTACGGACTCTGAAATTGACGATTGCCAAACAAATTTCCTGAGCCAATTCTGTGAATGAATGAATGATCGAAATGAATGAATGAATGGATGGATTGATGGATGGATGGATGGATGGATGGATGGATGAATGGATGGATGGTTGGATGGATGGATGGATGAATGGATGGATAGATGGATGGATGGATGGATGGATGAATGGATGGATGGATGAATGGATGGATGGATGGATGGATGGATGAATGGATGGATGGATGGATGGATGGATGGATGGATGGATGGATGGATGGATGAATGAATAAATGGATGGATGGATGAATGAATAAATGGATGGATGGAAGGATGGATGAGGGTGTGTAAATGTACAAATTGACATGATTGATTGAATGATCCATCTATTTAGCAAAAAATGTTGACCTATTTATAAAATTCCCCTCCATATCAAAGATCTTGACGCAATAATTCATGTTATCCGAAACTAATATATGATCTTTGGTGTCCATCGTGACGTAGAACGGAAGTCGAAGATGGTGCAGTAAATCTCCTCTCGAGCAAAACGTTTTTATTTGTTGGCCTGAATTAAAAAAATTCATTCATTTATTTATTCGTTCGTTCGTTCGTTCATTTGTTTGTTTCTTTAAGCATGCATGCATTCATTCGTTCATTCATTTGATCATTCGTTCGTTCGTCATGTTATTCCTTCATTCGTTAGTTTACTTTTTCATCTATTCATTTAAACAGTTTCAAGAAACTAGTTGAATGAACGAATGAATAAAACACTGAAATAATTAATCAAAATTAGAGAGAGAAAAAAAAGAAAGAAAGATTGAATGGATGGATGAATGATTGATTGAATGAATGAATGAATGGATGAATGAACGAATGAATGAATGAATAAACGAATGAATGAATGAACGAATGAATGAATGAACGAATGAATAAATGAAAACTCCTCCAAAAAATGACCTTTATCGTCAAAGATCCGAATACAGTGATGGGTGGTGTCGGTAATGATGGTCTGATTGTGATTGGGCGAGTACGCGATACCGTTAATCTGTACCGGTATTTGGCTATTTTCGTCTTCCGGGCATTCCCATTCCGATACCAATTTTTCCGTTTCGATATCGAAAGTTTTGATCGACTGGTTGGGAAAAGGACGGTTTAATAATAATAAAAATAATAATAATAATAACAACAACAATAATAATAATAATAATTAATAATAATAATAATATTTACTTTGGTTTTCCTATCAGTGAGACGAACTTTATTATCAAGAAGTACTACCAAACAGTTTGGCCATATTTTTTCATGGAATAATTTCTTATAAAAATAGCCATCTATTTTTCCGGATAATTTATCATTACTACTATTATTGTCGGGAATTCTATTCAGATTATTCTTCTTTTCGGTAAAAGTATTGTCGCGAGCGTAGCGAATGTCCTCGCGATTTTTTGTGTCTTCGTCGTCGACTCGTAAGCAATCGCGATCATCCGAATCTTCCTCGCCGCAGGGAACTCTTGCGAAAGTCTCACCATCGTCCACTGGCGAAAGTAAAAATACTCCGTGACCGACTGAATCGGCGACCAAAAAATTAGTGTCCCTAAAAAATTTGACGTCACTGGGGACCTGGATTAGTGAATTATTATTATTCTTATTGTTATTATTACTATTGTTATTATTATTATTACTGTTGTTGTTGTTGTGGCTTTTTCTAGAAGATTCAAGAGACCAGAATTCAGTTGCGTGAATCGTTCGCTTCTTCTTCATACTTCCACTCATACTTGATTTTGCTTAATTATCTATTAATTACTATTATTATATTATTATTAATTTATTATTATTATTAGTATTATATTATTATTATACTATTTAAATATTATTTAAATAAATAATATAGAAACAAAACAATCGTTCGTTCATCTTTTTTTATGAACGATAAATACATATATAAAGAAGAATGGGACAGCAATGACAATGATTGAGATGAAAAATTTATAATACAAAATCTCTCTCTCTCTCTCTCTTTCTCATTCTTTTTCTCTCTCTTTCTACACACACACACACACACAAACGCTCACACACACTCACACACATATATATATATATATATTTATATACAAAACTTCATCTTATTTGCATGTTGATTGTTATAAAGATAATTTAACGAATGAAACCGTTACTAATTTGCACGCATACAGTCACACACTCACACATACAAACACACACACATATACAAACAAACACACATGCATAACACGATCAACTTAGATAAACATGATAATGGATACAATTATCTTTCTAGCTAGCCGAGCGTTCAGCTTTTGAAAATAACATCCTATATTCAGAGAAAGAGGGAGGGAGAGAGAGAGAGAGAGAAAGAAGGAGGGAGAAAAAGAGAGAGACAGTATGTGAGAAAATGAGAAAAAGAAAGAGAAGATATACATACATACATACATACATACATACATACATACATACATACATACATACATACATACATACATACATACAGGCGACAGCAGGGAACTGTTTTTCGCAACTAACCACATTTCGTGCTTGTTGCAGCGGTTCCTGCGTGTCTGTGTGCTTGAAAATATCCAACTGAATGCCGACATGTGCAATTAACGACAAATCAAAGTGTTGATCCATTTGTTACTTGATGTTTGACGGTTCAGTGTCACTCATCATGTTTTGGTTTTAACATACGTACACACACACACACACACACACACACACACACACACACACACACACACACACACACACACACACACACACACACACACACATATATATATATATTTACATATATTTAATTTACACAGTACTTGTGTGAACGTTTTTATTCACAATAGATTCATCTAAATTTTTCAAGATTAACATGAGAAAGAGAGAAAGAAAAAGAGAAAAAGAAAGAGGAAGAGAAAAAAAATGATCGTAAGGAGAGAGAGGGGCAGAGGGAGTGAAAAAGAGAGAGACGGACAGAAGATAGAAAGAGATAGAGTGAAACGAATACAAGAATGAGAAAAAAAAATACTGACAAAGAAACTATTAAAATTAGTAAAAAGGAGAGAGGGAGAAAGGGGGAGAGAGAGAAGTAACGAAAAAAAGAGACAAAAACTGACGGAGGGAGCGAGAGAAAGAAAGAGAGAGTGAGTGATAGTAAAAATGAGGAAGAAAGGGAGAGATATGGAGACAGAGCCGAGAGTAACTTAAATTTTTGCCGTTAACCAAACTGTCTAACCAAAAAAAAAATTCACCAACATATAATTTATTCAGACTAAATAAATATTAATAAATTCAAACAACACACGCACGCACGCACACACAAACAAACACACACACAAACAAACACACACACAAACAAACAAACACACACACACAACCAAGCAAAATAATATTTCTTGATTGTCAATTATTAAAACTCAAAATGTCAGCCGTTAAGCTCTCTAAATCTTCAACTAATTTCTCCAACTCTTCACTTGATTCCATGTCCTCTTTACTCCTCTGATAAAAAGATAATTATAATAATTATAATTTTATTAAATAATAATAATAAATAATTATAATAAATTTTATAAATAATAAAAAGTAAAAAAAAATTATGACAAACTGACTCTGTAAGTGGCGATAATGCCGTTGATGGCCAACTTAGCAGACGAAATCATTTTAGTTCTTTGGTCGGAACCGTCCGCTGTCTGTTCTATGCACCTTTTATAAGCTATGATATAATAAAACATAATAAATTTATTATGAATACATACACGCACACACGCGCACACACACGCACACGCGCACACACACGCACACACACACACAGACACACACAACACACCTTCGCCGAGTTGAACAGTTGACTGGCAGATTTGAATGCATTTCTTCAAGTCCGTACTCCAATCCCTCAGACTGTTGATAGAGCAGCGATGGGACCTCTGCAAGAACTGCAAGGCCTGTTGTTGAGATGGAAAAATTATGATATTATTATTATTAATTATTAAATTATATTATTCATTCGTTTATTTGTTTGTTTATTCGTTCGTTCATTCGTTTATACTTTTACTCGTTCATTCATTCATTCATTCATTCATTCATTCATTCATTCATTCATTCATTCATTCATTCATTCATTCATTCATTCATTCATTCATTCAGCCATTTTCCTATCGATCTATCTATTTAACCAGCAATACCTCTTTACATTTCAACCTATTCAACTTGTTCATTCATTCACTAATTCGTTCATTCACTCATTCGTTCATTCACTCATTCATTAATTCGTTCATTCACTCATTCACTAATTCGTTCATTCACTCATTCACTAATTCGTTCATTCACTCATTCACTAATTCGTTCATTCACTCACTCACTAATTCGTTCATTCACTCATTCACTAATTCGTTCATTCATTCATTCATCCATCCACTCATCATAATTCAACAAGCCATTTAATTTTCTTACCAAAATTTTCTTATTAAAAATTCATCATCACCATCCTCATCATCATCATAAATATTACTTTCTCCTGCTCTGATTGGCTGAGGTTTTGACCCGGTTCTACGTGATTGGTCAGCTCTGCATACAACCTCCAGATACAACCATCGCCAGTGACCTATATAATTTTATAACAACAATAATAATAAAATACTACTACTATTACTACTTCTACTACTACTACTACCACCCCTACTACAACTACAACTGCTACTATTTCTACTACTACTGGCACCACTGCTACAACTACAGCTACTACAGCTGCTACAACTACTGCTACTACAACTACTACAGCTGCTACTACTGCTACAACTACAGCTACTACAACTACAACAACTGCTACTGCTTCTACTACTACTGCCACCACTGCTACAACTACAGCTACTACAACCGCTACTACTTCAACTACAACTGACAATAATACTAATTATAAACCTGAGAGGTAATGTGGCCAAAGAGCGCCAATAACTTGCCCTTCAATTTAGATGAATGTTCGCCAGATGCGTCTTTCAGATTAGTACATACTGCTTTCGTTAAGTTGGAAAGAACCTTTAGGTAGATTAAGGTCATGGTGGTGATGATGATGCAATAATGATCATCATCACCATCAAGATGATTAACAACAACAACAACATCATCAACAACAACATCATCCACAACAACAACAACATCAACAACAACAACCTCAACATCAACATGTTTTTGTTTCAACTCGAGCAGTCTGTGATAAGCCCTTATGGTTTCTTCAAACTGGCCAATGTCCACTGATATCTTAACGAAAACGAAGTTAATTTAAATCACAAATCAATGCAACACACATACGCGCACACACATACACACACATACAAACAAACAAACATACAAACAAACAAACATACAATGAGATAATTCTCCCACAATCTCCAGTTTTCATATTCGCACTTGATAGCTTCTTGCAGCGTGACAAACGCCCTTGGCCTTCAAGTAATTTATGCAAATTTATGCGAATGAATGAATGAATGACCGAATGAATGAATGAATGAATGAATGGAAGAATGAATGAATGAATGAGTAAACACAGTTACACAGTATAATGTTAACATCAGCAATCAATCAAATAAATGTTGGTCCATACAAACGACTGTAAAGTTATACCGGAAAAATGGTAATGTTAATTTATTTTAATTTATGTAAATTTATGCAAACTTATTGTGAGATCTTATGTAGGCCGTGGCTAAGTTATTCCAGGCTTCAAAATTCTGTGAACGTAATGAATTAGTTAATGAATTAATGAATGGATCGGTGGATGGTCAAATCAATTAATGGAAAACGAACGAATGAATGAATGAATGAATAAATAAACAACAACAATGACGTCATAATTACGTCATTATCCAGGTTAACGCATCTTCTGAATGCTGTGGCAGCCTTCTCAAACCGTCCGCACGACAAACCGGCACAACCGTACGTGAACCACAGGCCTATCTGGATAAATGAATGAAGAAAGGAGTGAAGGAATGAATGGAGGAATGAAGGAGTGAATGAGTGAATAAACGAATGAAGGAATGTGTGAATAAACGAATGAATGAGTGAATAAATGAATGAATGAATGATTAAATGGGTAAATGAATGAATGAATGATGAATGAAAAGAAGAAAAAATGAATAAAGAGACAAATGCTCAATTACTTGCAGTGGGTTTATCTCCAGTGAGGTTTCAAAGTGTTCCAGTGATTTTTCAAACTTGGTGAAAATTGAAAAATTTTTAAACACACACATACACACACACACACACACACACGCACACACACACACGCACACACACATACTAAAACACATATACACTAAAACACACACACACAAATATACTAAAACACACATACTAAAACACATACACACACACACATACTAAAACACACACGCACAAGCACACACGCACACAAACAAACCTCTCTTCTACCAAGCCACCAGAGACCCATAGATTTTTTAGCCCTAGAGAAAGAATTCTTCGACAAACTCCAGGCCCTCTCGTAGCATTCGTAATCTTTGGTAACATCACCGAGGTAGCAGAACAACAATGGCGTCTCTCTAACGGTCAGCTGCTCCCTTATTATCCTCTCTGCCTAATTCAAGGATGTTTAAATAATAATAATAATAGAAAGAAAAAGAAGAAGAAGAAGAAGAAGAGAAAGAAGAAGATGATGATGATAATGATGATGAAGAAGAAAAAGAAAAAAAAGAAGAAGAAGAAGAAGAGGAAGAAGAAGAAGAAGAGGAAGAAGAGGAGGAGGAAGAATTAGGAACCTTATTCTTATTGCCAAGAGCTGCATTGCACCTTATAATCTCGTCGTACATTTGAAGCCTTTCATAAACTTCCAGCGCGCTATTGGTGAGGCCCAGACTGGTTAGCAGGCTAGCCCAGGTGTGCTGAATAAATTAGCATAAATTAATACGATTAGTAGATTTGAATCAAATTGATGGCTCAAATTAATATGCAGTTAGATCTAATTATGCGAACGCGAAATATGTGCTAATAATCTGAGTCACTAAATAAGCTAACACACAAACAAGATCTAATTAATATTTAAATAGTGATCTAATTGGTATTCAAATGTGATCTAATTAATATTCAAATAGTGATCTAATTAGTATTCAAATTTTATCTAATTAATATGCAAATGAGCCAGGCAACCTGCACCGTCCAATAGGGCGGAAGGTTTGAAGTGAACAACCAATGAAATCGATTTACTGGATACATGGATGGCTTGCTGTAGAAATTAACCAGCTCCTAGATGACGATGATGATAATAATAATAATTATTATAATCATAATAATTATAATAATAACAATAATAATATTTGACCTCTAGTTGTCCCAATGACCTCTGCATGTACCTCATGCTACCTTCACTTTCAAACTTGCATCTACTGTACAGACATTTGTACAGGATGCAGTAGTACGGATGATGATGATGATGATGATGTTTTTGGTGTTGATGATGATGATGTTGTTGTTGTTGGGGATGATGTTGATGATGATGATGTTGTTGTAGTAGTATGGCCTGTGATAATTATTGTCGCGAATTAATTATGGAAGTTTATTATCATAGGATTGATACTATGTGAAAAAATGTTTGATCGAATTCTTTTACTCAATCAACTATTTCTCCAATCAATCATTCACTCACTCACTCACTCATTCAGTCACTCACTCATTCACTCATTCATTCATTCATTCATTCATTCATTCATTCATTCATTCATTCATTCATTCATTCACTCACTCACTCACTCATTCACTCACTCACTCACGCTAATATAGGCCATAACTTCTTCCTTTATAATTCCTCCATGTCCTTCCTTTGTGCTATGATGATGATAACTAAGACGACGATGGTGATGATGATAATTTAAAAGGTGATGATGATGATGATGATTTGAAAGATGATGATGATTTGAAAGATGATGATGATTTGAAAGGTGATGATGATTTGAACGGTGATGATGATGATGATAATTTAAAAGATGATGACAATGAGCAAACGAGCAAACACACACACACACACACAAACAGACAAACACACATAAACAAACCATAAGGCCAATATTAAACATTGCTCGTGAGGTTTTAACCAAATTCCTCTTAGATTATAATTATTATTATTATGATTATTATTATGATTATAATTATTATTATTATGATTATTATTATGATTATTATTATTATCTTTTTCAGTATCAAATGATATGATATCTAGGACCGCCTCATCATTCAGACTCACATTCTGCAATGAACAATTAATTACAATAATTATTATAGTTATAATTATTGTAATTATAACTCTAACTATAATTATAAATGTAATTATAATTGTAAACATAATTATGTGTGTGTGCTTGTGTGTGTGCGTGCGTGTGTGTGTGTGTGGTTAGTGATGAAAATAAAAATAGTCTACCTACCTTTGGATATAAATGATGAAGACTTTTCGTACTACTACTATCATCATCATCGTCATCGTCATCTCTGACGTCATAATCGTCATCATTACCAGGTCTGGCACTATCATTGTTACCGGCTCTCCCACCACTATGATCATCATTACCATTACTTCCGGTTTCGATATCACCATCATTATTACTATAACTTCCGGTTTTGATATCATCATCATCATCACCGCCGGTCTTGACATCATCAACATTACCAGCTATGACGTCACCAACATCGTTATCATCATCATCATCACCGGCTCTGACGTCATCAGTATCATTACCGCCATCGTTATCACAAGTGACTCTCTCGATTTTCAACGTAAGCTGGGGTATGCTTCTCTCTTGGAAGCGTGTTCTCCTTCCCAGTGCTCCTGATGATGATGATAAAGGTGATGATGATGATGGTGGAGAACGAGGGTGATGATGAAGACGATGACGATGATGAAGATGACGACGATGATGATGATGAACTATGATGAACAACTATAATCATCTCCCTCAGAATCGCAACTATCATCATCACCGTCGTCACCATCATCATCACCATCATTATCATCACCACCACCATCATCATCATCATCAACTACATCATCCAATCAACCAACCAATCAAATTGACGGAAATCTTCGAAACTTTCAGAGCCCTCCTTATGAAAGCCCTTGCCCTCTTAGGTTCATAATAAAAGAACATCATGTGACAGCATTCTACAAAGTATTGCAGCTGGGCTACTGATGATGATGTTACTGGTGATGATGATGATGATGCTACTGGTGGTGATGATGATGATGCTACTGGTGGTGATGATGATGATGCTACTGGTGGTGATGATGATGATGCTACTGGTGGTGATGATGATGATGCTACTGGTGGTGATGATGATGATGTTACTAGTGGGGATGATGACGATGTCGTTGTTGTAGTTGTTGTCAGTGCAGGTGATGATGATGTTGTTGTTGTTGGTGGTGATGATGATGTTGGCGTTGTAGGTGGTGATGATGATGATGTTGGCGTTTTACAGGTTTCAAATAGGCCCGTTCTTTCTACTGAGAAATTTAGAAAATATGAACCATCATTAAAATGAACATCATCATCATCCTCACCACCATCATCATCATCCTCACCACCATCATCATCATCACCATCATCATCATCACGGAGATCACAATCAAAACCAGAAACATCACTAACGACAACAACATTAACAACCACATCAACAACATCATCATCAACAACAACTACAACATCAACAAAAAACAACATCAACAACAACATCAACAACAACATCAACAACAACATCAACAACAACATCAACAACAACTACAACATCAACATCAACAAAAAACAACAACAACATACACTTAG